GGAGTGTGAATGTTCTTGTGGAGCAAAACGATAAAGGTGGCAGCTGCTCTAGTGTGCTCTCAGATACAGACACCTACAAAGCAATTAGTATTGAAAAGACACGAGCAGCCGGCCCACCAGGATAATTAGCAGATGTTACTTGTAGGCTTGACCCTCTCTGATCCTGGGCTTTATGTAGTAAGATAGGGAAAAATAGGTAGTCTCGGGGGTAACTGGTAAAAGGGAAAAAAAGTTGAGGAGATAAAGACATGAATAGAGAAAATAGTCCAGACCACATATTTGGACAGTTTTCTTGAAATATTTGTCTGTTAAAAATAAAATACAAAATATGACATGTACATAAATATTCACAGGTTTTCAAATTTCCTCAGGTGCATTTTGTTTCCACAGATCATGTGGAAATCTGCCTCCAGCAGATGTTTCTACAACTTGCTGGAGGCTGCACTCACATGTGTCGCATCTACCAACCAATCTCTTTGGATTCTCAATCTTCCTGGATAGAGTATGCTCATAACACTGATGTCATCGAAAAAAGTGAAAGAAACCTGAACATCTACGTCCACTATGAATGACCATCTTTGAACAGAGACCGTGGCTTACGACAACTATCTGCCATCTATAATCCAGTTTTAAGATCCCTTCCCAGATGCCTTATCGCCCACTCACATCCTGGGCCATTTGACCTCAGTAAATCACATGAAAGGGTGGGGCTAGGTTTCACAATTGGTTCACCCGCAACCTTAGCTGATTGTGACCCACACCCGTTTTCCCACCTTGGCTCATGTGATTAGGTAGAGGATCAATAATTAATCTTAATAACTGTACAGTACTCTGTTTTTGTAACTATTGTCCATGATGTAAATATTTTTTTCTGTAAAAATTGTTTGTGTTTCTGTTCTGTTTGTATATCTGCTTTTCTTCTGCTGCTGTCACAACCAAATTTCCCCTTGTGGGACAATTAAAGGATTATTCTATTCTGTTCTGTTCTATTCTATTCCTTTCTATTCTATTCTATTCTATTCTATCATTTGCTATTATCAACTTTTTGTAAATTCTTGGATTATGCTGAATATTGAATTTCTAAAAATGTGTTTGCATGTGGTAACACATCATCAATCATTCATAAAATGTAATACAGCCCAAACATCTTTGGAGAACACAATCTACATACACTACCAGTCAAAAGTTTGGACACACCTTCTCGATTTCTTTATTTTTACTAGTCTCTACATTGTAGATATATACTGAAGACATCAAATATATAAAGCAAGATGTCTGTAATTATGTAACAAAGAAAAATTTATAAATAACACAATAAATATGTCTTATATTTTAGATTCCTCAAAGTAGCCACCCTTTGCTTTGTTGACAGCACTGCAACCCGTTGTCCTTCTCTCAATGAACTTCATGATGTAGTCGCCTGAAATGGTTTTCACTTCACAGATGTACCTTGTCAGGGTTCATTTGTGGAATTTCTTGCCTTCTTAATGGGGTTGGGACTATCAATTGTGTTGTGTTGTCCATCATTACTTTAGGAACTGTAGGTCAGTCAGTTGATAATGAGATTCATTTGCTAATTCCATAGCAGTTGGGGTTTTTACATGATCGTTGAACAAACATTGGAATACCAAAGGAAGATTTCTATTAATTTCACTGACTTCGAGAAGGCTTTTGACAGCGTCCACCGGCTGACTCTATGGGCTATCCGACATCACCATGGAGTCCCTCAGCAGTTTGTAGATGCCTTTCGTGGTCTCTACTCCAACTCCCGCTGCTGCATCCAGACAGATGACGGCTGCACGGATTTCTTCTAGATCAATACTGGTGTCCGACAGGGATGCATGCTATCCCCTTTCCTCTGCCTGTTGGTAATTGACTTCATCATGCGATGATCACTTGACTAAGCTGGCATTGGTGTCCCCTGGCATGAAGCGTGTATTCTCACTGACTTGGACTTCACGGATGACATCGCCCTGCTGGACTCGACTCAGGAAGACATCCAAGAGTTGACCGCGGCCCTGCAGAGGGAGACAACAAAAGTCGGATTAAGAATTAGCACCAAGAAGACCAAGGTGCTCTAAGTTGGCTACGCACGTGCCCGCATTCCTGTCATGATCAACCGACACCGTGCTGAAGAGGTGGAGAATTTCACATATCTTGGCAGCATCATCTCAACTGACGGGATCTCTGACAGAGATGTTGACGTCAGAGTTAGGGTCAAGATCAGACTATTGAACTCTATCGTCATTCCGACTGCACTATACACTATGAAACCTGGCGTTTAACAAAAGCAGTTCCTCAACGTCTGAACGTGCTCCAACAATGCAGCCTGCGGTGAATCCCGAGAATTTCCTACTGGGATGGAATAACGAACGAGGAGGTCTTACGAAGAGCAGGCACCCGCCCTTTAGTCAATGTTGTTGCAGAAAGGCGCTTCTGCTTTGCGGGCCATATTTTACCTCTACCCCCTTATCGCCTGGCCAAGATTGCCATTACATGGGTCCCACGCACTGGCATGCGAAAGCAAGGCCGACCAAAGATCACATGGTGTAGAACATTTATGGATGATCTGAGAACCATCGACATTGCCTGGGACAAAGCTGAAGCAGTTGCTGCTGTCCGACATCGATGGAGATCATTAGCTGCCTGATGCGCCGCTCGGTGTAGGAGGAACTAAGTGCTAAGTAAGGTCAGTCAGTTCAGAAAATTGCTAAAACTTCAAATGTGTCCCGAAATGCACTTGCAAAAAACATCAAGTGCTGAACAAACTTCTTCCACCCCAGGAAAGGAAGACCAAGAGTCACCTTTGCTTCTGAGGAT